GGGGGGCGGGTTTGAGGTCGGTCAGAGACGGTAGGCCTGAACCTACATCCAGACTGCTAAAATTTAAGCCAGCTACTCAACTGTAATTAGGGTAAAAGTAGAACCCACACATCTTTTCCATAGGATGGTGGAGTAGCTTGAACAAGAAGGAATAATGGCAAAGCCCCACTGTCAGAAAAATTCCCCTTGTGTTGCCAAGATTGGCTTTAAAAAAAAAAAAAAAAAGCTACAATTGGATTTTTTAAAATGTAGCTTTATCTTTAATTTCATTTTTTAAAACCCAGGTTAGAATTTGGAAAAACGTTCAATTAGACCACAACTATCCTGAAGCTATTGATAAGAACTTAAAATTCCAAGCATCTACACGATTCAAAACTATCATTTCACACTTAAATTAGGCAGTTAAGTCCCATCCCCCTAGTAAAAAGGAGACTTACCAGATCTTTGAGTGTTACCTGGATAATGACATCACTCCCTATTGCTGTTCTAGCAGGCTAGGATGGGCTGCCCTTTGCCCTCTTTCCCATACATCACAAGAGTAGCAATCCCCCCCAAAAGAAAGGTTTGTAGAAAAGAAAGTTATAGCAGCTCATCTCCTCAGTTCAAAAAATATCAAAAGCTGTTAAGACATAAAAAGAAGCACTCCATAAAAAGTGGAAGTGGGGTAAGGGAGTACACTGAAGCCAAGCAAATTCATATTTGTAAAATTTAAGCTGAAAGGAAATTTGGAATCTAGCCCAAAGTTCTCATTTTACACATTAAGAAACTGAGGCCCAGGGCAGTGGTGATTTGCCCAGGGCAAATGCTTCCCTATAAAGGTGTTAAGTGTCTGTTACCAGTCACAGCAGCACTTAATCACATTCTAACAGTTACTTAAATGTTTATGAGATTAAGTACCTGGTATGCAAAAAACAATCTCCACCTCCTTTGCATCCCCTTCAGTGCCTTGCCCCAATGCTATTCAGAAAATGATGCAAGATCCTCATATGAATACCGTATCCTCCTTCAGCCACTATAGCCACAAAATTTCTTTTATTTAAGATTAAAGTGAAAACCTGAAATGCCTGAATTTCTCAAGTTCTGACTAAACAAGTGCATCAGCAAAACCTCAAAACTTGGGGCAAAATAAGAGTACGAAATGGAGTATAGCACTGTTGTGGTTTTTTTGACAGTTGCCATTTCCCTCATATTAATGTTTTCAGTCCAGGTTTTCTGAAAAAAGGTGCAAAGTTAAAAAATAATAATGGGTACAAAGTTAATCCAAATTATTAGCACTTTTGAGACACTTCCATTAGACAATTTAGCATATCTTCACCTCTCAAAAATAACTTGAAAGTAGCCTACCCTACACTAAATATTTTGGGGGGAAAAAAACCAACCATCTAAAATAACCGTCTACCAGGCCACAACATACTAAAACCACAAAATAAGGAACAATCCTGTAAAAATCCCACCAACTAAAAAACAGTACCATCAGTCTTCCCGGGCTCACTGTTCACCGTCAAACTGTCAAAGCATTTGTTGAAGAACACGGAGGAAAGTTCTGCACCGAGTTCACAGGCTGTGGGTGCATCAGATTATACCACTACCCACACATAACACCAGTCTGGGGAAATGCAAACACGCCACATGTACATTTTTTAACCAGGCCTAACCACGTTTAACCAAAGTAAGTGTTGTCAGCTCTCGTAACAAAGATTGGAAAAAAAAAAAAAAAGCAGCAATATGCAAGCATACTTCACTCATTTATAAAACCATCAACAGAAATGGCAAGGAACTGACCCGAGGCGAATTAACAGTTCTGAACGTTAAGGCCGCCGTACAAAACGGTTTAGAAGAGCTGTCTTTCTGAAATGCCGGGCAAAAGTCCTTTGACGAGTGTCGAAACTAATGACCGTATACTAATGAACAAATAACAAAAGCTTAATACAAACTACCACGCCGCCAAACCGTTCCTGTTACCAATGCCCAGATTTTTTTTTAAACAAGCACTGAAAGGGAACAATAAAAAGCGTCTCACCGCAAACACAGCAAGAGAGGGACTGTCGGAAGTAAGGCAAGAGCCTGTTAATCTCTGTAAACGCCTTGGGGTCTCCGGGGTCGTAGTTGAGCACTAGGCGGCTCGCGGAAATGTAGAGAGCAGTAGCATTCACGGGGTTCATTGCAGACACTTCGACACCGTTGGCTCCCGGTTGAAAAGAAATTCCGGATCCAACTTTGTAAGCAGCCAGGGAACAATGGCGAATTTGCAACAAATCGAAGGAAATCAGAGAAGAACCACTGGCCAAAGTAGTAACCAAAATCCGTACAAGTTTGTGGAGCTGAAGCAATCCTCCCACACATGGGGCCTTGGCGCCCCTCCTCCGTCCCTGAGACTTGCAGACACACACACAAAAAAAGAGAGAGAAAGAGATAGAAACCAGCGTTCGAGTTTGTCCCAGGCAGCCTCGGAGCGAAGAACGCGGGGGCTGCGGCACTCCGGCCGGGACTCGGCGCTCAATCTAGCCCCGCGGCTCGGCGGGCGGCCTTCGCTGCATCTCCGGACGCGGAGGCACCTCCTCAGGGCGAGCTGAGCGGGCGCGGGAGCAGGCCCCGGCCCGGTCCGAGGGGCGGGCACGCTTCTCACGGGCTGCAGGGCCCTTACTCCATCACAGCGCCCGGCGCAGAGGTAGCGGCGACGGCGAGGAGGACGGCTCGGGCGTCGACTTCCTCAATCTAGTGCACCAAGACGCGGCGGCGGCGAATGTTGCAGTTGCGGCTGGCGGAGGCCGCCGCCGCTCTCTCCATATCGGACGCGGGGCCCGGACTGCGCCTGGCTCTCCGCCCCGGTAGTTACAACCCCGCTGTTCCCTGAGGTGGCAAAGCGGGCAGGAGAGTCCCCCACCCGGTAGGGGAGGGCCGGGGAGGAAGTGCGCGGGCCGGAGGCGGCGGCGGCGGCGGGAGGGGGCGGGGAGCAGGCCCGGTCGGGCCGCGGCGGCGCCCCTCGCTCAGTCGCTCACTGCGAGGTCACCAGGCGCAAGCGCCGCCCCCTCACTACCCGGCCATCTTCTCCGCGCCGCACACACGGAGACCTCCTCGGCCAAACACGACGGCCGCTGCCGCCCACGGCTCCCGCCCGGCCGCAGCTGAGGCGAGCACTCACACCGCCAGGCCCCGCCGCCGCCGCCGCCGCCGCCCAGAGCACACAGCAAGGCCCCGCCGCAGGCCCCTCCCCCCGTGCCTCGCCGCCCTCACCCTGACTCCACGCGCCACTCTAACTCGGTAGGGCCCGGGCTGCTGCGGCCTTAATAAATCCCGCGGAGTGTGCGGCGCCTCAGGCCCTGCCGGCGACGACGACCGTTACCCCAACGGGCAAAGCCACTGTCATCCCCGAGACTCCCCCGCCGCCGTCGTCGCTAGCGCCCGCACGCATGCGCAGAGCACACTCTCACCCCTCCCCCCCTTTCCTTTCCCTTCGCTTCCCTTTTCCCCTGCTTCTCCTCTAAGAGCCCCCTCCACACCCTCCCAGAGCTACCGGCTCGCTCCGCGCATGCGCACTCCAATATCAAGCTCCACCGCCTTTCGCCCTTACGCGTGCGCCTTGACCGCCCACCCAGAAAACCGGATAAACACAGCACCCCGCTCACGCCAGCCCCTCCCTGCTGCCAACCCACCCCGGCTTCACAGCGCATGCCTGGCTCTCCACTTACGGCTCTTAGAGCATGCTCTGTGCAAGCCGTTCTCTCCGCCCCTCCCCCATGCGTTCCCAAATTCCCTCTTAGGCGTGTGGGCTGTGGCGAAACATTTGTTAGCTGACCAATCCTTCCACAGTTTGGGCTTTAAGCTTCTCGCACTACACTGCTTCCTCCGTGCCCGCCAACGCTGAGGCCCGGCGGGGTCGCGCCATGTGGCTGGCGCTCCGCCCTGGCGGCCTCTCCTCGCCCTGACTGACCACTGTATGAGGAAATAGTCCCGCACGGCCCTAAGCCCCGCCCTCGCGGCCTTTCTCCTAGAACGGCGCTTTCCAAGCACCGAAAGGGCGCTACCGGGGCCTGCTTGCACAGCCCGGGAAGATCGACAGCAATCAGCGTGGCCACGCGCCCAGGCGGCGTGCGGGCGACGTTTCCTAGATTAGGATCGCGGCCAGCGTCGATGGCAGCTTGAGGTCACTAAGACCCTGGCAGGCGGTCTGTAACCGTTGGGGCTCGGACCCACCTCCCCTTTCCCGCCCATCAGAACTGGGCTCTTTCTGCGGCCTCTTGTCCTTGGAGTCAGACCTACGCGAGCCGCCCAGCCTTCTGGGGCGCCGACCGGGACCTCGCCGAGCTCGTACGGGAAAACTGTCCAATTTAAAAGCAAAACGAAACCCTTTTTTACTCCTTTGACAGACTTAACCTTTCTTTGTGAACAGAGCTTTTGAAGAGTCCACGGTCCTGCTTTAGAACGGACCCAAGTCCTTGAAAGTATTCATCTGTTTTTTTTTTTAAACAAGCTTTCACCTTATGTTTTTGCAGGAGACCAGGGACAGAGATATAAATAAACAAAAGCCTAACAACATATGATTCCCCTCGTCTCTAAAAGTACAAAACTTTTTTTGAGTAGCACAAATAGAAACAGCATAGGAACCGTTTTTACCTCTGGACACGCCAAAGCTCTTCAGCATAGTTTTTTGCACAAAATAAATGATCTACGTGTGTTTGTAAAGTGAAATTTATGACATGTGTATCTTTTGGGGGCACAAATACAGTTAGTTTTAGGGACTTTCTATTTAGAGTAGAAAATAAGATAAGGGAACCCAATAACTTCTGATAATTTCTCGTGCCATATGATGACAGGTTTATTTTCTTTACAAGGGCTAGCATATTATCAGCACTTACGTTATTAAGCAATGGAAATCTAACTTCCTAATTTTGTTAGGCAGCAAAGCAGAAATTAAAGTTGTGCAAAGTATATTTGGTCGTCTTGTATCTGGAAAATAACAAATATTCTCAAATTCATTCTCTTGTTTAAAAGCCCCATCTTCCTTGGGTCGTTTGTTTGATAAGTGATCTTTTCTAAGCTCACCTTCAAATAAAACTGTTATATTATACAGTTCTATTTTTGTTCCAGACTCAATTCTTGTTCCACAAACCACAGGTTGTTTTCCTCCAGAGGAGTAACACGGAGAGTAAAATAATCAGTACTGTTTTCCATTCAGGCAACATAAATTAGCAGTCACCCTAGGCAAGTGATTACTTTAGGGCCTTAACCTTGCTGATTTTCTCATAACTGGATTTTTTTTAACCACTTGAGATGTTTGCAACCTAAATTAAGATTAATTTTATTGATAGTCTGTGTGTGAGACAGAGAGAAAGAAACTTAAACCATTTTGTTTTTTTTTTAGCCTCTGAGATTGCTTGCAACTGGTGGTAAGTTTATGGCATTTAGAAGCAAAGCATCTCCACATTGAAGTATATTGTCTGTAATAACTATTTGGTTGCTGGAGCCTTCCCTAAAAAGAAAACAATGAACTGTTTATAGAAAATGAAGTATTTGGATCAAATATTTAGGAGAAATCATATGTAACTCAAATCTCAAACTATCAATGTAATTTTTTTCATATTTTATATTTAATTATTATTTGGAAGTAAAAGTGTTAGGGTTGCCAGATCTAACAAAAATACAAGATGCCAGTTAAAAAATTTTAATAAGCTTTTTTTCTTAAAGATTTTATTCATTTATTTGACAGAGAGAGACGCAGTGAGAGAGGGAACACAAGCAGGGGGAGTGGGAGAGGGAGAAGCAGGCTTCCCGCTGAGCAGGGAGCCTGATGCGAGGCTGGATCCCAGGACCCTGGGATCATGACCTGAGCCGAAGGCAGACGCTTAATGACTGAGCTACCCAGGCGCCCCAATAAGCTTTTTATTTGAGAACAGTTTTGAATTTTCAGAATTATTACACAGATAGTACTGACAGTTCTCATATATTCCATTTCCCCTATTATTAACATCTTACATTAGTATGTACATTTGTTGCAATTAACAATAGTAATACATTATTATTAAGTAAAATCCATATTTTATTCATATTTCTTCAGGTTTTTTTTCCTAGTGTCCTTTTTCTGATCCAGCATCCCATCCAGGATATCACATTACATTTAGTCATGTCTCCTCAGGCTCCTCTTGGCACCCAGTTAAATTTTCATTTCAGACAAACAACAAATACTTGTTTTCTTTTTATTGTCTGTATTTCCTACCCATTTTGAGTTAAAGCTCCCCTTTTCTGTCTTCCAAGATTGGCAACTGCTTGCCTCTTTCATTGCACTTCTCAAACTACATGGCAACTGTTGGTTTAGCAACTGCTAGAAGGTCAGAGTTTCTCCCTCTTTGACTTTTATCATCATTGTCTAGCATAAGGCTTGGCTTATAATGGGTACTCAGTAATTGTTAAAACAATGATGAATTATTAGAAATGCAATTATATAAGTAAACTCCCCAGTACAGTGTATGGTTCAAAATAGGCATGGACAAGTGTTTGCTTTTCCTTGGGGAGAAACACAAAATGTCTTATAAACTTAAAGACAGTTCTTATCTCAGCTTAATCAATGTCAATTCTAAGATCCTTAATAAAACCCGATGTGTGGATTGATTTGAAACACTCAGAATAATCAATCAACAAGTATTTATTGATTATACTCAAGCACTTTGGGGACAATAAAGAAAATGTGTTAGTTGTAGTTAAACTTTCAAAGAACAAAGATCAGGCTGGCATTAAGTGAGAGGGAGTTTCTGAGTGGTTGGGCCCTTTATAAAATTATGAAATCGTTGTTTGCCTCCCTTTGCCCATCTCTTTCACCCTCCTTTCTCTGCCACCCCTCCACTTTTTCTTTCTCCACCAAAAACTATCCAGAGATGTTTCCTCTCCCGCCTTCCCAGGTTGCATATCTCCCTGACCGCCTAGTATCTCCACTCCACTGCCTTCAGCATTATACTCATCTGTTATGGAATGTTTGTGCGCCCTCACCGGCTCCCCAAATTCATGTACTGGAATCCCAACCCCTACAAGCTGGTATCAGGAGGTGGAGGCCTTTGGGAGATAATTAGGTCGTGAGAATAGAGCCCTCTTTAATGGGATTAGTGCCCTTACAAAAGAGACTCCAGAGACCTCCCTCACTCTCTCTGCTATGTGAGGATACAATGGGAAATCAGCCTCATCTTCAACCCAGAAGAGAACCCTCACCAAGTGACCATGCCAGCACCCTGATCTCACATTTCCAGCATCCACAGCTGTGAGAAATAATTGTTTGCTGTTTAAGCCACCCAGTTTATAGTATTGTATTACAGCAGCCCAAACCAAGACACCATCCCTACCAAATTTTAACTAGCGCAGACTGTCACTGTGGAAAGAAATCAATCTGATTAACCTCAATCTATGGGAGAGTGATAATAATTTAATCTAAACTAACAACAAATCAGAGACCGGCCAGAGCAATTACCTCTTTACAAGGAGCAATAAACCAGGTGAAATTAAAACAGGGCCTAATCCAAACCAATCCTTCCATTCTTCTCTGACCACTGCTCTCTGAGTGTTATCAAACCTTATCTTCCACCTTCTGCTCTTAGTTGTGGTCCTACCTCGCCCCTTCTCACTCAGTCTTAGAGCCCCCCAAAAAAGAAATGCTTCCATTTAGGGTGCCTGGGTGGCTCAGTTGGTTAAGCG